TCTCTCTCAGGTATAAAAACTTTTACCTGTTTCAGAGGAAGCGTCGTTGGGTCGGGAACCCATCATAAAGGAAGACGGTGTAATTTACTTTTCTCGTTTGCAACGGTTCTGAGTCGACTGCACCAACACAACAAAAATGTCAGCAGTCATGGACCTATCTCTTGATGGTTTGGTTGTAAAAGAATCAAACAGACGCCACTTTCTTTGGTTGATGGTGAGGAATTTTGGCAGTTTCAGTTTCCAGTAATTAAATTTTGAATTGATTACAGACTGACCCTCAAATAGCTATTAGGCACTTGGAAAACACACATACAGCGAACATACAATATTAATAAACATATACTTAGGTATATCTAGAATGATACTTGTTTTTCGCAGATTTTGTACAGCCTCCTGTGTAATTTTTGAAAATATTTTTAGGACCTATCTCAAATTCTGATCGCAATCATTCTTTAGAAAATTTTCACTGTTGTACCTATATTTCCTTTAATATGATAGTTAATTCTTTCTTGAAATATTCATCGAGGACTTTGACTGCACTTCATCTGGGCCAGCAGACCTTTTCGATTTGATGGACAGAATTGGCAGAATTGCTGCATCAACCTCACTCATGTCTGGGCCAGTCGTGTTCGCTACTTATCTGTTGTTCTGCTCTTTAGTCTAAGAAAAGATCCCTACGTAATTATTTCCTGGTAATTTTATCTGTTCTATGACTACGATAATTTCTCCATTCTTCCCACAGGTTTTTTTCTTGAATTCACCGGTCATTTCTTTCATGTTTTGTGTGTCCCAAATGTGTCAAGTTTAGCCTGTAATGTGTCAATCTTTATGCATTTATCCTTTGAGTTTCTGTTTTTTACGTCTCTTCTTGTTTGGGTATTGATGGATCTACCCATATGTCTTTATCTATTTTCTTCTTTTCTCAATTTCAAGATCTTATCAGTCATCCAGGGTTTCCACTTGTCTTGTCTGTAGGTATCCTTTGTTAATATCTATTTCTTTACAGTTTTTGTGACGTTGACTATTTTATCTATTTTTCTTCAATTTCCAAAACTCCATATTATAATATGTAGAGCGGTTTGAGTCAATTATATCCTGTTCACAATCCGATGTCCACAGGTGCAGGTAAATGTATCACCTTTCCCTATCAAATAGCATTGAAAGGTGATTTTACCTGTACCTACCTGTGGACATCGGATTGTGAACGGATAATATGGAGAATTACAATTGAATTATTTAACTATTTGCTAATCACCGCGTTGCATACCAACTCGCAGAAAGCTTTTCATTAAGTGCAGTTATGTGATCAGAAAAACTAAATCACGAGTCAATAGTAATTCCCAGATATTTCGTACATGATTTTGTTACAATATTGTCACTGTGCATTGCCACATCATCAAGCTTAAGAACATAATATCTGTTCTTTCGATAATTGAAACAGTTTGCATTACGCCGCCACTCTTTTGCGAGTGGCGACCCAGGTTTAATCCATAAAATAGTGGTGTCATTGGCAAACAAGGTCTGATTTCCATTATTATCCATGTTAGTCAGGCCATTTATATTCAGGGTGTCCCACGAGGTTTTTCCCAAATGATAACTTCGGAACGCATCATCGTATGTTCCACTGTATAATTTTTTATCATTTTCTTTAACAAAGCCTTAACAAATATAGCAATCCCGATTTTGTAATTTAATTTTCTAACGTAAAATGCCATAATATACCATGAGCTACATTTAAAATTCGAAAGTTGACGTCACTTGACCGAAATTGAAGCGAAGGTAGTGAAATTGAATGACAATGGTTGAAGCAGCATAAAAAGTTACCCACATCCTCAAAATTGCAATTATATTGGATGACGCGTTCCGAAGTTATTACCTGGGAAAAACGTCATGGGACAGCCTGTATAGAAGGAAGAGTAGTGGTCCTAAAACTGAACCTTGGGGCACTCCGTGAGGAAAAATAAGAGCCACCGATTTATTAGTTTGACACCTATTATTAAAGAATGATTTAAGCCAGCTGTACAGAGTTTCTCTCCTGTTTCATTTTTCTCTTCACGGTCAACAAATCTAATGTTTTTCAGTTCTTACTCGACCTACTTTTGCATCAAGAACACCGTTTATAAGGACGCGCGTCCTCTTTATAGGGATATTCTTGAAAAGGTAGGTATGCTTGAATTTGGATATAAAATATGTTCGTTCTAAGTGAGAAATTCGGATGATCTGGGAAAGAACATAAACGGCGAAAATTTAACAAATCTATACATATTGACACTATCATTCTAATCTCGGATATGTCTGACAAGGCCACAAAGATGCTGGAAAGTCCAGGTAGCATCTAGAAAAGTCGAAGTAAACATTGACACCTGGAAAACACAATTTATGATAAACGTCGTAATAAGTGGCAAAAGTTCCTTTGAGTGATGGATATCGATTTTTTCAGTCTCCAGGTAATGTTTCCTAAATAGACTTGCTAACTAGTGTAACATTATACCCAATTAAAACCTCCCTAAGAAATGCAAGCACAGTTTTTAAGAAACAGTGAATCCATTACTGCACACATACTTTCTTGTAAATTAAAGATTGTTAATACCATTAAAGACTTGGGAGTCATATATTTCAAAAAGATCTGTCTTTCAGCAAACATATCGATAACGTTGTGCTTAAGAGTTTCGACTGCTCGGCTTTATCAAGAGAAATACCAGAGATATATATGATGTCAAAGCAATAACCACACTTTACTATAGTTTGATAAGGTCTACATTGGAATACTGCAGTATAATTTGGACTAATACACTCGGATATTTATCCTTTTGAATGTGACACTTGCAAAACAAAATTTAAACGGAAAGGCGGATTGAAGAATCACAAACTAACACATTCGGATATTTATTCTTTTGAATGTGACACTTGCAAAACAAAATTTAAACGAGAAGGCGATTTGAAAAGTCACAAACTGACACACTTGCATATTTATTTTTTTGAATGTAACACTTGCAAAGCAAAATTTAACCTCAAAGGCGTTTAGGCTCACATATTGACACACTCGGATATTTATCCTTTTGAATGTGACACTTGCAAAGCAAAATTTAAACGGAAAGGCGGATTGAAGAATCACAAACTAACATATTCGGATATTAACTCCATCTTTCACATCCAAAGGATCGAAAGGGTTCAGAATAAATTTGTTAAATACTTGTTATACAAACTAAGATTTCCTTATCAGAACGTGGACAACATTCGTTTAGGTACTGTGGTGTGGCTTAACTTCTCTTGAGAATAAACGTCAGAATGCTCAAGTGATCTTTTTGTATAAGCTGATGTGTGGTAGGTATTATTCAGCTGAACTTTTAAAAAAAATCCATTTCCTCGTCGCTGGCAGAAGAACTAGACAAAGGCAACTTTTTTCCCAATCAGTCCGCAGAACAAATTATGGGCAAAACTGTCTGATGACTAGACGACCCACAATTATAATACTCATTTCTTCCATTTGGACCTTTTCACTACAACTCTGAATTCAGTTAAGAAAGCTATAGCTTTTTGACTTTTTTTTGTTCTTTTTTATTTTAGTTTTAAGTAATTTAGAAATTTCAAAGGGTGTAAGGGTCGAAGGTAAAGAAGAAACCTGGCCAAATGTCAACCTCACCTGCTCGTGTAGTAGCTATCTGGCTATCCAGTGCATCCTGCTAGAAAACCAACGAGGCTCTGACGATTGAGTAACAGCGGTCTTACTGTATAAACGGATAGTTGAGGAAATGCAAGACTCAATCCCACTCGCCAACACGTTAGGCAAGCGCGGCGTTTTAAATGCCAAAACCTTTTAAAGTTAAAATTCTGATTTCGAATTTAAATACGATAATACCTAAGGTGAGTAGTACTTCTTGCACAGAATCTCATGCTGAAGATAATTCAGGTTGCCTCGTGGATTCTGAGGAAGGCAAAAATTCGATTTTTCCGATAAAAGCGATAAAAGCAAACAGAGTCACAACCAAACCAAACTATATATAGCATCATATAATGTAAGAATAATGAGTACTGAACGTCTTGAGCATTTAAAGAAAGAACTTGAATATATCAAATGGGTTATACTTGGTTCGAGCGAGACACTGCTACAGGGAGAGAAAAGCACTCTATTGAGATCAGGCCATCTGCTTTATCAAAACTAAAAACAACTCAGACAGTAATCGCGGGGTTGGAGGTATCGCCATTCTTGTTGATAAAAAAGTTGTCCCGTTGGTCTTAAAAAGAGCTATTATTCACGTGTTGCTCCGACTAAAGAAAAGATAAAGCTTACAAATAGTCCACTGATACGTACCGACAAGTTCATCAGAAGAGAAAGAAATGGAAACATTTTTGGAAGACATAACAAACGCACTGAATAAAGAAAAAACACATTTTAGAATGATCATCGGCGACGCAAATAGACCCTGAGATAGGGTATTTTTTATGGGTGAATTATTTATCAATGTCAATCTTTTATTTAGAAGCCAAAAAATTTGAGATCATTGAAAAAAATTCCTCATGTAAATCAATTTTTTTCTTCTGCAAATTTTCGAACGGGAAGCAGGCATTAAAATCACTCATATTCTCATCAGCTTAGTAGCCACATTCAGCCCTCAAAATGCCAGACAAAAAAAAATGACTCCACTAAACAGCCTCTATCTCACAGTCTAAAAACTCGGAGAGAAAATGGAGGGAGATCCAGATAATATTGGAAGGTTCGGTTTAGGAAGACGCAACGAACGCGGTGACATGTTCCTTGATTGAGCTACAATTTCCCTAAACCTGAGAATTGAAAGAGCAAAACTTTTCAATAGGCATATTTTTCCAACTGCAAACGAAAACGTCCATAAAGAGGCTTTTTGAAAAGAGTTGGAGAAGAAATTTAAGCCCATCCATATACATGGAGCTTGAATCATCTCGCCGAGAAAATAAGCAATGACATCCACACAATAACTAAGAAAATTTCTCCTAAAGTTAAAACACCAAGAGACAATAAGATAATGCCAAACACACTAAAACTTATTAAAGAAAGGAAAACAACTTCCAGAGATGCAACTGAGTACCGGGAGCTCAACAAGAGAATACAGAGGGATGTGAGATCCTATAATACCAGAACAATTCAAACCGGAATTGAGGATAACTTTAACATGAAAGTTCTTAGATCGAGACTTTCGCTCGGAAAAAGCAGAATTTTAAAATGAAGGATGAGAATAACCATAAATTGACTGGAACAGACGAAATCTCTAAACATATAGAAATCTTTTATTCTCGTCTATACACCTCTGTTGTGCGGGATCCTAATACTCAGAAAGTTACCGTTTGCAATGTAGGCTCAGAAGTAATTCCTGATATACCTTACCAAAGAGGAAATAACGTGGCACTAGGACAAATGAAGAACCGTAAATCACTTAGGGAAGACAGAATAACCTGTGAAATGCTAAAAATGGGCGAAGACTTTATGGAACAAATTCTACAGTTGTTCTTTAATAAATGTTTATCTGAAGGCAATATCCCTGAAACATGGCACAACGCAGAAGTTATTCTGCTTTTTAAAAAAGGCAACATCACGGACATTGAAAATTATCGATGTATCAACCTTCTAACCCACCTTTACAAACTAGTAACAAGGATCCTTACAAACCGACTGACAACTAAATTAGATGCCTATCAACCAGTGGAGCAGGCAGGATTTCGAAAGGGATACAGCACTATGGATCACCTACAGTCTACAGACCATTCAAATGTTAATAGAGAAAACAACAGAATACAATATACCACTTCATTTCGCCTTTATAGACTTTCATAAGGCATTTGACTCTACTGAAACATGAACTGTCCTGTGTGCGATGGATGGAGCAAGGATTGATCCAAGATATTCTACCCTTCTTGAGAATATAGGTATACAGAAACGCAACTTTCCGTGTGAAAATTTCGGAAGACCTCTGAGAACCGAAAAAATTTCAATTAACAGGAGAGTTTGCCAGGGTGATTCTATATTTCCAAAACTTTTTACGTTGGCCTTGGAAGACGTTTTTAAAATGCTTCCGTGGGAAGATAAAGGTGTCAACGTTGATGGTACGTTTTTAAACCATTTACGCTTTGCCGATGACATAGTGCTTATTATTGTTCAGATATCCAGTAGCTTAAGAACATGTTAGAACTAACGAAGTTTCAAATAACGTCGGATCAAAAATGAAATTATCAAAAACAAAAATAATGAGCAGGTCTAAGGAAAACATAAGAATAGCAGACAAAACTTTGGATAATGTTGGTGAATATCTGGGTCATGTCATTAAAATGGGAAAGGAAAACCAAACGGCGGAGATAGAACGAAGAATAAAACTGACATGGATCATTTGGAAAACTGAGTCATATAGTGAGAAATTCTGACATCCCTATAAACCTTAAACGAAAAGTCTTTAACATATGCATCCTGCCTGTCGCAACATATGGTTTTGAGACAGAGGCTTTAACCCAGAAGTACACCAACAACCTTAGGACAATGCAAAGGAACATGGAACGGGCAATGCTTGGCGTTAGTTTACCAGATAAAATTCGTAACGAAGAAATAAGAAGGAGGACGAAGGTAGTGGACATAATACAGCGAATCGCTGAGCTTAAGTGGCAATGGGTTGGGCATGTTGCCAGACTGGGTGTGGACAGATGGATAGCAAAACTTGTACACTGGAAACCACGTCATACAAAGAAGATCGTCGGCAGGCCACAGAAGAGATGGTTGGATGATATTAAAAGAATAGCAGGAGGAAGTTGGTACCATACAGCGGAAGACAGAACAGCATGGAAACAAATGAAAGAGGCCTTTGTTTAGGAGTGGATAGGAAATGGCTGAAAAAGAAGAAGTTGTACACTTAAAATAAATAAATAAATAACTAGGATAGAAAATTCGCGTTTGAGTTGAGACAATGAAACCAGTGAGTTTCAAAGGACGGTTGAGCTTAACAGTTAATTGGGCAGCATTTGGAAATTTAGAACAAATATCATTAGACCTGATTTACGAATTATGTTCAAAAAGAAAACTCTTCGTTCAGACTGTCCTACCTGTGCTGACAGACCCCTAGACTTTTAAGGTACGGAGATGCTGACTTTAACTAAAAAGACGATAAATAGGTTCCAATTCGCGCACCTACGCATATGAAGTGTGATACATTCGAAGTTGTACAGAATTTAAATCTAAAATGATCTAAAAAAATTCTCTTGGCCTGTGTCTTAAATTTATCTTGAGATAAGCAAAGGAAGTCAAGACCAATGACGTCAAGACCAATGACGTCAAGACCCTCATACAACTTATTTACATGGCAGATATTCTATCAACAGGACTGAATAGTAAGTAGGAAAGTAAAAGTTCAGAAATACCATAACTTGAGAGCTTTAAAAGAAGAGGATGTTGTGGTTTACTATATCAAAGGCTCTATCTACTTAAGTCTTTTTGAAAGGATTTTTTCAACGCATTACCTGCTCAAGTAATGTATAGGAATTGCAAATAGGATTACAGGATGCTGATAGGTCTGTAATGTGTTACATTATTCTTGCTGCCTGACTTGTGAATAGGACAAACATAAGAGAGCTTCCACGTTTCTGGAAAAATTCCAGAAGTTAAGGATTTGTTGAAAATATTAACTAGAGGGAAATACAAAATCTTAGAACAAGATTTTAGTACTCTGTTAGGAATAGCATCAGGTCCTAAAGACTAGGAATAGTACCCTGATTAGATTGGGATTTGGGAACGAATAAAGTTCCAAAAAAATTTCACATTAGTGTCTATAGCCCTGTCAGTATCACTTAAGGGCCCCATACACTACGTTCTTTCTCGTCGGTTTTCATCGCCACGATGAAACACGTCGTTCCAAAACCGAAGTGTGTGGTAGAAAACCGTCGTGTTTTTCTACCACACACTTCGGTTTTGGAACGACGTGTTTCATCGCGGCGATGAAAACCGACGAAAAAGAACGTAGTGTATGTATATGTATAATTTGTATTTATAGCACTCCTACAATTATTATCCTAAAATCTTATAATAATTCTGTTAATATTTGTTTCTCTTTGAACCTACTTCTTGTTTGAGCCTATGAAAAAAATAAAATAAAAATTCTCCCTTTTTAATTCAGATGATAGAAATACACTGGTCCCGTTTTTTTTATAATGGTCCTTCGGACAAGGCTTCGAGAAAAGAGTCTTTTCTCGAAGCCTTGTGTATTAAGATTTGACATCATCATAAGCGTGTCAAATCAAAACCAATAATGAAAACCGTAATGTAAAGTTTGTTTGTAGCAATCCAACCATTTATACCACGAACAAAAGAAACCCTACCATCCACCCATTAGTCCCATAGTACGCACAGCTCCGTATTCACTCTTTTATCTTAACCATCTCTTTTCAGTCCAGTGGCCCCTACCTTATAAAAAGATCGCGTTCGTTTAACACAAAAGCCCGAGTTGGATTGTTAAAATGTTATATGATTTCTTAGATACAACTGCTCTTGGGTTAGCTAGATTGTCGAATCGAACGAACTTCTTCTTGGTCCGATGGACGTCGGCCATCATGGTGTGTGGGACCACGATTTAGTATCGAACGAGGAGTATTCTGGGAAGCGTGCGCTATATTCGTTTGCGCCGTCCGGAGATCGTCCTTTTTCTTTTCCCGTTTTTGATTTTGGTCCTTGGAGCCGTATATTTTTGCGGAGGGTGAAGTGATTTTTTGACTATGTTAGAATGAACCTGTGTTTTGTGTGTCTGAATGAATAGGCGGGTGTCGTGAAAGTGCAATATTTTTTTTGTTGGTAAAAGTTAGTGCTCGCAAATGGATTACCTTCTTTGGCACGTTCTTGCAATGACGAAGTTTAACTAAAAATTGATTTGAAGTTTAAAGGTCTGTGTGATTTTTATGAAAAAAATAATAATTTTAAGCAATATTCAGAACTATTTTTTTAATTAAAATGAAAAGGTCATTGAAATCTTAATTTGGAGAAAAAACAATTCCCGGCAAATCAAAATACTTACATCAACTATATAATTTTGACTCCTACTCAATTTTTTTGTTTTTTAGCGTTTTTTTAATTTTCCCTAATAATCTTGCTTATACATAAAAAATCCCCTAATAAATCAATATAGTAGATGATGCACATCAGACAATAATATTGCAAAACCAAATTGTTGCAACTAATAAGTAGACGGTTATTGCAATATTAACGTTGGCTGTTCAAATGATGTAAAGGACAAAACAGGAAAAACAACTTTTGATCGATTGAATTTAGATCAGATGTTTTAAACAGCTTTAATTGGCTACATTTTATGAAACAAAGTTTTAATAATTGAAAATACAAATACATTTTTGGTTTGTTTCAGTCCTGATCGACGAAAATGCACACTCCCGAAGGAACGCTAGAAAGGGGGGTGGCACCCCCGAATTCCGCGCCTGCTGTTGTAATCAAAATGGAGGGAAACAATGATCAAGTTCTGATACCTCATGTGATGTCGTTACCGGGACAAGATGAATGTGATAATATTATGGCAGAAAGGTATAAATTTGAACTTTATTTGAGGGTAGTTTGTAATCGTGTTTGGCAATTTATCAAAGAGAAATACCTAAAGACAAAGTACGTATTTGATGAATTTTAATACCATCAGAAACTCATCAAAACATTGATAACTGTGATACTTAACTAGCAGATTAAGATAGAATTTCTGAATAACTATGCGAATACTCAGGCACTTGAAATAGTTATTTACCTAACAAATGCGGAAAGTGATACTTTACCGCACGCAACGGAAGTTGACCGAACGACGCGAAGCGGAGTTCGGTCAAGCCGTTAAGGGCGGTAAAGGCACTTTCCGCATGTGTTAGGTACAAAATTTTACCTATGAGCATCTAAATCTCCAAAAAAAAGGCATTGATAAAATTAATTAATGAATCAGATTAATTAATGAAATTAGATAAGATTAAGAAATGATCAAAAATCCATTTTCTGAAAAAGAGAGGATTTTTGATTATAAATATCAAATTCTACTTTACCGCACACTATGCGGTAAAGTGCACTTTACCGCATAGTGTGCGGTAAAGTGATACTTTCCATTTG